GAGGTCCAGGCCAGGTCACAAGAGGAGGTGGCACCAGGGAGATCACTGCTGATGTCCGATGGATCTTGACTCAAGCAGAGAATACCAGAAAGAGGCTCAGTTGTGTTTCATGGACTGCGCCAGGGCGTTCAGGTCTATGGAGCATAGCAATCGCCAACTAACCCTGAGAGGAACCAGAGTCCCAGAACCTGGATCTGGATAGAGAGGCCGTTGTGGGACCAGAACACGGGAAGGCTGCATGGTTTCAACTCGGGGTGGTATCCTGTCACTCTCCTTGCTGAGCAAATCATCAGAGAAGCTCGATTATATGAAGAAGAGTGAGGTATCAGGATCGGAGGAAGGCTTACTAACAAGCTGCGGTCTGTAAATGACACAACCTTGCTTGCCGGAAGTGAGGAGGACTCGAAGCCCTGGCTGATGAAGGTCAAGGATGGGAGAGCCTTCGGTATGGATGACAACTCAATGTGAAGAAGACCCAAATCTCACCCCTGGACCAGTAGGTAACATCCTGATAAATGGAGAAAAGATGGTTGACGGTCTCAACGATTTCATCTTGGCGGGTCCACCATCCATGCTCATGGAAGCAGCAGGCAAGAGAGCAAAGGGCACGTTGCCCTACTAGGCCAATCTGCTGCACAAGACCTCTTCAGGGTCTCGCGAAGCAAGGAGGTGACTTTGAGGACGACGGTGCACCTGACCCACGCCATGGTGTTCTGAGGAGACTCAGCTGCATGTGAAAGTTGGCCCTTGACTCGGGAAGACTGGAGAGAGCTGGATGCATTTGAGCGGGGGTATTGGTGGAGGCTGGTGAAAGTACCCCCACTGCACACAGCACAAACGCCATCTGCCTCGGAGGAAGGGCAGCCAGACTGCTCCTTAGAGGCAAGGATGGTGAGACTTTGACTCCTGTGCTTTGGACATGTCTTCGGGAGCCCCCTGTCCAGGGGGAAGGACGTCATGCTTGGAGAAGTGGAGGAGCAGCGAAAAAGAGGAAGGCCCAGGGCGAGTGGAAAGACCCAGTGGCTGGCATCAGCTCTTCCCTCATGAGGGAAGCGAAGTATTCTGGGTAGAGCAGCGGTTCTCAACCTGTGGGTCGTGACCCCTTTGGGGGTGTGTCGAACAACCCTTTCATAGGGGTCACCTAAGACCGTCAGTGTGGGGGGAGGTCAGATGCGCAGGCA